CCTCTCCATGTGCCTTCTACTTTTGCTGCATTTTCTACCTCTGAAGGTAACTTTACCTCTACTACTTCTACTTCTGTTCCACCTACTTCTACTGTGAATAATCAACCCACTTCGAATCCGAATGCTTCAAAACCAGTTGTAATTGTTGTAAATTCTCAATCTGATTTTCTTTCTCCTAATGAGGATGATCCTCCACCGGAAATCCCAACAAACATTCGCCATCTATTAGATCGATTTCCTGAAGTCTTGGCTCAACCTCGCGGAGTTCCCGAGCGTCCAGTCAAACACAAAATCGAGATAATAGAAGGGAGTGTTCCGCCAAAGGGTTGCGTCTACCGTATGGGACAAGGCGAGTTGGAGGAGCTGCGGAGACAAATTGATGACATGATTGATCGTGGATGGATTAGGCCCAGCGAGTCTGAATTTGGCGCACCTGTCTTGTTTGTGCCGAAGAAAGGAGGCAAACTCCGGATGTGCATTGATTATCGTGGCTTGAACCGGATCACAAGGAAAAATGCCTACCCTTTGCCTCGTATAGATGACCTGTTAGATGCGGCCGGTGGTTGCAAAGTCTTCTCCAAGATCGACCTCAAGTCTGACTACCACCAGATTGAAGTTGATCCAAGCGACCAGCACAAAACTGCATTCAAGACACGCGATGGGCTGTACGAATTCATCATTATGCCCTTCGGTCTGACGAATGCACCAGCCACATTTCAGTGCCTCATGGACAAGGTACTCCGCCATCAGCTTAACAAGTTTGTGGTTGTGTATCTTGATGACATTCTGATTTTCAGCAAGTCCATGGATGAGCACATCAAGCATCTTGAGGAAGTTTTGCAAGTCCTCAAAGAAGCTCAACTGCACCTCAACTTAGAAAAATCTGAGTTTGGTAGGGACAGTGTCATCTATCTCGGGCACCGATTGTCTGCAAACGGCCTTGAGCCGGAGGCAACCAAGGTTGAGGTCATTCGAAACTGGCCTCAACCGGCGAACGTACGCGAACTGCGTTCCTTTCTCGGTTTGGCTTCTTATTACCGGAAGTTTGTACCCAGATTTTCTGTTATTGCTCACCCACTCTCGAGACTGACAAGTAAGAACGTTGCTTATGTGTGGTGTGAGAAATGTGAGACTGCGTTCGAAGCCTTGAAAGAGGCTTTGGTGAGTCATCATGTGCTCCGCATTGCAGATCCCAACCTCATGTTCGTAGTCACTACGGACGCGAGCCAGTTTGGGATTGGTGCAGTGCTGCAACAAGATGATGGCGATGGCCTGCGTCCGCTCGAATATTACAGCAAACGCATGCCCAGCCACAAAGTAGCTACTTCCACATACATGCGTGAGCTCTACGCCTTGCGCGAGGCGCTCACACATTGGAAGCACTACCTTTTGGGTCGACACTTCAAGGTCTATTCAGATCACCAGACCTTGCAATGGATTAAGACGCAAACTGATCTTTCCCCAACGCTGACCCGCTGGCTGCATGACATTGATGACTTTAACTTCGAACTAAAACATAAGAAAGGCTGTTATAACCGTGTTGCTGATGCTTTGTCGTACCATCCCGAGTATTTGACTTGCCTTGTGGGTTCATACGATCTCCGAAGGAAACTGAAGGAGGATCTGATTGAGCACACCGCCAAGGATCCGGACCTCAGTCCCATCCTTGAGCAGCTCAAGGCTGACCCTAACAGTCAGCCTGATTTTCATGAATGCGAGGGTCTTGTATTCCGCCGGTATGGGAAGTTTGACCGTTTGTGTGTACCCAACCATGCGCCTCTCCGAACTCATTTCTTGGATTTGGCACATGGTCGGAGTGGACATTTCGGCTTTGAGAAAACTTATGGAAGTCTTCTGCGGCAATTTGATTGGCCAGGAATGAAAGGATTTGCTCAGAACTTCATCGCTGAATGTCAAGTATGCCAAAGAGTCAAGTTCCACAGGCATAAGCCTTATGGCCTACTGAGACCTCTCCCCATTCCTGATGGACCCGGTGAATCGATTTCCATCGACTTCACGGACATGGGAAAG